GTGATATCACAAATCCCGGAAAATATGCTTTGTAGTCCAAACGAGGTGTTCGTTGTAGTTTTTTAAAAAGTGATTTCTGTTGAATAAAATATCTCCTTTTGAAGTGGACTTTGAGCTTTGTAACTTTGCAGATCGTTTTTATGCTCAAACAGCAACATTACAGACTAACTAAAGTTGAAAAAGTGAAAAAGCATAATAGGACCCCTTTAAAATTTCTTCATTGTTGCAGTCCGTGAGCAGGTTAGAAAATCTGTCATTACCTCTAAGGGTTTTGGAGAGATGGCTCCAGTTCTCCTGATCAGTTTTGGAGAGCGTGGGAAGGGCTGGGTAACTTGTGTCCCCGAACGAGCCTCGGTAACTAGACAGAAGGAACTGATTTCCTCTGATAAAGACCTAAAGTCTTTCTCTGCCATCTCTCCAAGTTCTCTGAGCTAATGGGAGTTGATGTGCAGAAAAATCATAAATATCACTTTAGTAGTTTTTAGTGATCATAACTCTGTCATGTACAGTTGCATTATCTAATGATGGAATGCAAAATGCAAAAAGTACAATGTTCTAAATTAGCTTGTTTTCTCAGAGGACATGAAAATGAGTTCATTCTGACTTCCTGCTAATGCACAAAATGTGCATTACTTTAGCCTTTACTAGAACACACTGAATGCCAAAAGTTGCATTTATATCTGCGTAGCCCAAAGCAAGGAACTGAACATTTGAAACGTAATCACACTTTTGAGCAGCCTGAACTTAAGGCTTATGCATTGACGTTGGCACATTATCAAGTTACACAGCTCTTGAAGTGCTTTAAAAAGTTTGATACTGGCTATATCTTAATGAGAATGTAAATTAGTTGTGTTCTTTGTCACTGAAATATGCAATAAAATAAGCAATAAAATGACTTACCTAAAAGACTGATAAGAGAGTAAGTGAATGCATTTGGTTGTCGTCCTCCCGCAAGCACTTTTATGTTCGTCTGTGGAATGTGTTGAAAAAGGTGTGTAGCCCCTTTTAACAAGCCAAAGCCTGCTGCATATGCATATGTGTGTGTGTGTGCACACTTTTGCAGGGTTTTATAACTGACAGGATTATCTCTGCTCAATTCCAGACTTGTTGACCTGCAGGGTTTGGAAATAGCAGCAGATTGTGGTTTTTATTTAGCTTTTCTGAAATGCATGTTGACACTTGCATTAAATGCATTTTGCAGCCATCAACCTCTTTGTTTTTCTGCCCTGTAGGTACTGCCAGTTTTACGGACAGGATGAGTTCTGCCGCTATAATATGTTCAACCATCACTTTTTTGATGATGAGGTAAAAAACAAACCTCCTTTGATGTCAAATGTGGTCACTGTAATACATTCTGATAAGTCAAGATGCGCTGTTGTGCAGGAAGCGGTCATGTTTTTTCAAGGCTTTCTGCATGAGGAGGGAGGAGCCAAGGTAGTCATGGTAACAGACCCCCCATTTGGAGGCCTAGTGAAGCCACTAGCCAACAGTTTCTCAGATGTCAATCACCTGGAAAAATCAGAATAAAGGTATGAGGAACGGCATGCATGATTTATTTTGATTGAACCTTTTTTATTTTTGTTTTGCAAAAGCTTGTACTTGTGCATGTTTTACTTTCAAACATACTGCATTATTAAATGTTGTTTTCAACAGTTTACCCAAAAATGAAAATTCAGCCATTATCTACTCACCCTCGATTTGATTTCTTTTTTGTTTTTTCCCCCTTCTTCTTCAGTGGAAGATAAAAGTAGAATTGTTTTGGTTGATCTCACAAAAAGCTATCATATGGCTAAATTTGACTTGAACCACTTTTAAGTTACTTTTATGGTATTTTTGCATACTTTTTGAAACTTGAAACCTTCAGTTTCCTCCCGTTCATTGTAATTGCATAGAAAGGAGAGACCAGCACAATTTCTCTGAATTTCTCTTTTTATATTCCATGGAAGAAATTTGGAATGGCATGAGGGCATATCATTCTTATCTGTTGTTGTTGATCTTTAGTAAGCAATGCAGCTGCGATGCCAATGATTTGGATCTCCCCGTACTTCTTTGAGTCCCGTATCCTTGAGTATTTTCCCTCCTTCTCTATGCTGGATTACCAGGTATTATAGGAATATTGTGTTAATGTTAATAAATATAATGATATATTTACAGGGTTTAATAGTCCAGTGTTATTCTTCGTTCTCAGGTTGATTATGATAACCACCCTCTATATAAACACGGAAAGACGGGCCGTAAGCAGTTACCTGTTCGACTATTCACCAGTCTGAGCCCTCAAAGATATCATTCTACCAGAGGAAGAATGGTTACAGGTGCACAAAAAAAACACCATGCAATCTGAGCTTGTTTTGGTCCAGAAGAGATACATAAAAAGTTTTTTTTTTTTGTAGATTTCTTTAAAGGGTTTTTTGAGGGAGAACCAATTAAAAATACAGATTTCGATTGCATTGAGGGTTAAACATGCACTTAATCATTTTATTTTGGAGTGTAATTTGTTATAAATGCTGTTATTAACTGCTTTGAGGGGGTTTAATAATTACCACTAATATTTTTTTCAATCCTTCTCAGATTTTGCAGTGTTTGTGAGATGTACAGGTGCATCTCAATAAATTAGAATGCCGTGGAAAAGTTCATTTATTTCAGTAATTCAACTCAAATTGTGAAACTCGTGTATTAAATAAATTCAGTGCACACAGACTGAAGTAGTTTAAGTCTTTGGTTCTTTTAATTGTGATGATTTTGGCTCACATTTAACAAAAACCCACCAATTCACTATCTCAACAAACTAGAATACTTCATAAGACCAAAAAAAATATTTTTTTGTGAATTGTTGGCCTTCTGGAAAATATGTTAATTTACTGTACATGTACTCAATACTTGGTAGGGGCTCCTTTTGCTTTAATTACTGCCTCAATTCGGCGTGGCATGGAGGCGATCAGCCTGTGGCACTGCTCAGGTGTAATGGAAGCCCAGGTTGCTTTGATAGCGGCCTTCAGGTCATCTGCATTGTTGGGTCTGGTGTCTCTCATTTTCCTCTTGACAATACCCCATAGATTCTCTATGGGGTTCAGGTTTGGTGAGTTTGCTGGCCAATCAAGCACACCAACACCATGGTCATTTAACCAGCTTTTGGTACATTTGGCAGTGTGGGCAGGTGCCAAGTCCTGCTGGAAAATGAAATCAGCATCTTAAAAAAGCTGGTCAGCAGAAGGAAGCATGAAGCGCTCTAAAATGTCTTGGTAGATGGTTGCGTTGACTGTGGACTTCAGAAACACAGTGGACCAAAGTCTTCTTTTCAGATGAAAGTACATTTTGCATTTCATTTGGAAAATCAAGGTCCCAGAGTCTGGAGGAAGAGTGGAGAGGCACAGAAACCATGTTGCTTGAAGTCCAGTGTGAAGTTTCCACAGTCAGTGATGATTTGTGCTGCCATGTCATCTGCTGGTGTTGGTCCATTAAATGTGAGCCAAAATCATCACAATTAAAAGAACCAAAGACTTAAACTACTTCAGTCTGTGTGCACTGAATTTATTTAATACACGAGTTTCACAATTTGAGTTGAATTACTGAAATAAATTAACTTTTCCACAACATTCTAATTTATTGAGATGCACCTGTACGTGTCGGCTGCAAACAAACACTGTCCAAAGTGTGACACATGCCCATCGAAGGTAAATGCTGTTGTCTAAGTCAGTGTATGGAATAGGAGTAGCTTAACTGACATTTCCCTATTTATCTCACAGGATGGGTGAGAATGGAGGCACTGTGATGAATGTGGACAGTGTGTGAAACCTTGTAAGCAAATCTGAATTAATTTAAACTGTTCCTCATGTGGTCACTGTGCTCTCCCTGATCACCCTTGTGGTCCGAGCCAAACTGGCTGTTTCAACTGTGGCAGCCAAAAACACAAACATAGAGCCTGTCCTAAGAAATACAAGAAACGGTGAGTTTACCGTTTACAAAAAAAAAAAAAAAAAGTTACTTGAATTAAAAACGTTTACTGAAACATAATATTTAAAAAACTAACTTATTTCCGCTAGTTCCCAGGGCAGCATTTCCCATTTTAATTACTTTAACTTGATGTACTAAAATAACTCAAACTGAAATAAAAATGTAAAACTATATTGACACAAAAAAAACTAATGAAATGACAAAAACACAACAAAATTACTAAAATATAAAACTAATTTAAAAAATAGAAATTTAAAATATGACAACTATAATAGTATCTCTAGACATTCAGAATAATCAGTCGATGCTATACTGACTATACTGTAGTAACATGTAACATCTACATAACACCTAATTTATTGATTTCTGCACTCATGCAAACTGGTTTTTAAAGTATACTTAATATTAATATAATTCTCTTGAACATTTTGCCAACAGAATGATTGTACCGGGTGGTCGTGGTGCTCCAGGCCTGTTGAAACACATTTCTGGCAAATCCTCAACTAAGAACAAGAGGAGAAGAACAGTTACATGATCTCGCTCGCAGTGCATTACAAGAACGATGGTTTTGTAGCTGCTGAAATTTGCATCATAATCACAAAGTGAGATCATAAAGTGTCAAACGACCAACTGGTGTTAAACCTAGATGTATACAAGAAGGTTGTTGTGTATGTACAGCCACAGTTGTCTTTTTGCATCCTGTTTTTGTCACAAGCTCATCCTACATTAGAACTTTCTCAGTACAATTGACACGTTGTCTGAACAAACCTCATCCACGGTCTGGAGTAACATTTCAAAGAAGCTTTGTTCCAGCTTATGTGGCTCAAACAGTGACCATCTGTGGATAAAACCTTTGAATACAACTACTGTATTACTGGAATGGATGTCATTTTTGTATTTTTCAAAAATGACAAACAGATTTCTTGTTAAAGATATCATTTTTAATATATTTAAAGAAACTGATCCCCAGAAAGCATGTCATACTTCCTGTTTTCAAAAACATTAAAGGAACAATTTATTGCCAGTTTTCAAAAAATATTGTGATTTATAATCTATGAGCTTTAACACAAACAAACCAAGCATTTGGCTTGAATTTAAAATAGTCTTTTGGTTGATAATCACCAGTAATTATGGATTCAGCCAAAATCAAGTGATGCTCAGCGCCTAGTTTAAGTTTTAAGCTTAGTGTTATTAAAAAGAAAGAAACGCCAACATTGGCTTCAAGCCTGTCCCATCAATGCAGATTTACATAAATCACCTGACACATTTGTTAAGGTTTTACAACACCAGAAATTCAAGTTATTAAAAATAGAATATTAAAACGAATAAATCATAATCCATAAAGTGTTAAACAACCGCACAGTACTTATGCCTCATATTCTGCGATGCTTCATAACCCATTAAGCTGCCAATAATGTTTAATACTTCACATGAGTCTTTTTAGAGTCTGCCGCGGTTTGCTTTTATATGGTGTCGAGCCATGTAATGCTGCTCCAATAGTGGTTAAATTCACAGTTTAGGTAACAAGGGAAATTGTAGTTCAACATTCAGAAATTCTAAAGTTATTAGATATTTACATTTACAACTCCGTAAGGCTCTTCAGAATCGTGATTTTCGCTACACAAAATAGCTAAACAATTTATACAATTGTCTATAAATTAACATACATAATGTTTTCCATCTTTAAGTCAGGCCCATTTCTCTGAACTGTCCTTATGTAGTTGGTGGAGGCACCTGTCAGTCATCTATCCTTCCATGGCGTACAGAAAAGGCAATGAGTCGTTTGTACATAGCACTGAGGAGAACAACTGCAGCTAGTACTATGCCACATATGACACTGAAGGTCCATCGGGGTCCCAGGATGGTGTAGACGTGAGAGACAAACACAGGCCCGAGGGTCCTCGCACCACTTCCTGATGCTGTCAGCCAGCCCATGTAAACCCCCTGAGGTCACACACAATTGGGGAATGGAATAAATAACATTAATTTAATTAATCATCATGTTACTTTAATTTGAGATCTGAAATTTCAAAAGAGAAAAGTGTTTTACCTGTGGTTTGGGGCCCAGTATCTTGGAGTATAAAGTGTAGGACATTACGTTGCATGTTGGATAACCCACTCCAATCAGGATGTCAGAGGTAATGTACTGTGCGAGATGAATTACAGGGGTAAACAAGCACCAGGTCTGTTCAGACGGGCATCCAGTGGGCTCCAGAGAAGTGTTTGAGGGTGGGGTGGGTGCCAGTCGTATTGTTGGCAGAGTGTTATTCTGAATGTCTGTTTATGGGGATAATATTAGTTTAATACACACACATTTAAGCTGTAATATACTGTACATTAGCATTCAAATGTATGGGGTTGGTAAAATTATTGTATGTATCACTTATGCTCACAAAGGATTTTATTTCATTAAAAATACAAATAGCTGTTTCATATTTGATTATATATATATATATATATATATAATTGCTAAGTTTTCAGCAGCCATTACGTCGGTCTTCAGTGTCACATGATCCTTCAGAAATCTTTCTAATATGCTGATATGGTGCTCAAGAAACATTTTTTATCAATCTTGAAAACAGTTGTGCTGCTTAATATTATTTTCAAAACATAAAAAACATTCATAAACATTTATTTAAAATAGAAATCTTGGTTAAACTTTATTTTAAGTTGCTCCTCAGTTACAGTGTTATTATACATTGAAGTACTAAGTAATATATATATATATATACATATTACATACTTTATACAATACTTACCATATTGTTAGGTTTAGGAATAGGGTTTGGTTTAGTTGCATGTAATCATGCATAATTTACTGTTATTACTACAGTAAGTAAATGTAACAAGGACACTGTAAAATAAAGTGTCACTTTACTGGCACTTTTGAGTTTAATGCATCCTTGCTGAATAAGAAGTATGTCTTTAAAAACCTTTTGAACAGTAGTGTATATTGCTATTTTAATAAAATAAAATAAAACTGCACCAGATATCTCACCTGCCCACTGTATTTTAGGATACTGATTTCCCCATGGCAACAAGATAAAGAAACCTGCAAATATGAGAATCAAGCCTCCAAGCAGCAGTGGCCTATCTCCTACCCTGAAAATAAACCCAAAACCAAAACAGAAATTATTTTATCTGAGAGCAATGAGGAAGTCAAGTGTTCAAAAACTGCTAACGTCCATTATATAGGTGTTGGGTACAGAAGAAAAAAATGCAACTGACATGAAGTTTTCCTAAGATGACCTGCCGTAAGACTAAAACAATCAGAGGTTTTATGGCTAGTCATCTACAATGAGATGTTGATGTGTCAGATTGAAGTAAAAAAGCAGGTCTAAATGTTCAGGGTTCTTCAAAACATATAAAATAGATGAGATGATATTGCAATTGAGAAATATAGTCTAGCAGGAAAAATATGGTCCCATGTACCCACTTGGTTTTGATTGTGCTTTCATTGCAAAGATATTGAAAAAAACAACCCCCCACCCAGCGGGGTCACTTTTGATGAGGTGGAGATTGATGATGATCAGTGAAACAGTTTTGATGACTTTTGCTTTCAATTAGCTGGTATTATCAGATTGCCAATCTATGCCACTTGGAGTGATTGCCATCCATTTAACAACCTTGCAATTGACTTAAGAGAAAAAGCTAGTTTCATTTGGCTAATGCAGAAAACTCTTGCGAAACAAAAAAGCAAAAGTGATATTGTTATGACCCTAAAATGTGATTTTGCCTTTCCATTTGATTCCTGGTGTCAGAATTATATGAAAAAGTGGGTTCATTTGTCTTTGTATGTGTGGTTCAGGAGTTATGAAAATCTGCATTTTTCGCCACTCACATTGAAATCAATTCAAGATGGCCGTCAAACGAACCCCGTGGGACATTTGTTGACCTCGGCAACATCAAAAATTCTTAACTAGACACCATTAGGGTCCCAAAAAATCAGGTTACAAAAAACTGGCAAGCAGGTACATGGGAACGTATTTTTCCTGCTAGATTAATGTCGGGAAAACAAATCCAATGACCAAAATCAAAATGACATAAACTAAGCTATTCAAATGTCAAATCTTAAACGGTTTTTACCGTGCTGAGACCACTTTTACCACCAGGAAGACGAGGATGGACTCAAAGCCAATGGCAGCCAATATGATACCGTTGTAAAAAACGGCTTCTTTTCTTGTCCACGCAAACATGTCCATTGATAGAGGAGTAGATATACTGCAGGCGACAAAAAATACACGTGAATTTGAACTGATTACTAGATAAACTTTTAAAAATTAGTCTAGATGAAAGTATCACCACTTACGTTTCAAACACAGCAAACATGAAGAGAATAACAAAGAAAAGGACATTAGATGTGAACACTGCAATCTGGTCGATATCACCTTCTACCTCAGGAGCCACATCCACTCGCTCTAAACGCAGAAAGACAAAGCACTGTGTAAAATCATTTGAATTATTGCGTGAATTATTATAAAACAGACTGTACAGGGACACCATTGTAATGCAACAGTACACTGCTTAAGTATTTAAACAGTAAAATAAATATCTTTACCTTCTGGGGTGTAGTTAATTGCACAGATAAGCTGTCCATGGTCATCCACAAAGTGCTCCCTAAATAATTTTAAACATTTTTATTCTATGTATTGCTCAATTCAACAACAGTCAAATAATGTAAGCTTTAGGTCAGACCTGAAATAAAACACTCAAATGTATATGTATTTATATGCTATCATATAACTATTGTTCAGCTGCCAAATGCTGCAAAATACTGAGGTTAAATAATTACCTCAAGACTAATATAACCAGCAGAATGTTAATGACCCCGAAGCAGGCTGCCAACAGAGCTGGAGCGGTGTACATATTAACCCGAAGCTGGATGACATTCACACTGACGCCAGTCTCTCCAAAGAATGACAAAGCAGCCTGCAGAGCTGAGAAATTATTACAGTCAACATCTTTTAATGTCAATGATCCCTATTAAATTATATTTTAAAAAATCACTATCGAACAAAGTTGGGAACAATTACTGTTCTTACAGACCAATTTCCCTTCAAATGCATTCTGCAACTAACATGATTTGATTGCCTACACACAAACCTGGGCCAAGTATAAAGCCGAGAGCTTGACAGGCGCTCAGATTAGCCATTGCACTGGTTCTCTCCTTCAGGGAAGTGGCACCAGCCACATAAGACCTCACAACTGCTACATTACCTACAGGACAGGATAAAGGACCTTAACAATGCAAATAAATAAAGTACTTTACTTCGTGCTTGATAATAATGGTTAATAATTAAATTAATAAATAAAATAATAATTGCATTTGCATCTGCTACAGTTTTGTACAAGAAATTTTCTGAATATTACATTATATTGGATTGCTAATCATAGTAGTATTAATTTATTTAAAGTATATAACATAAAAATGTATTAAGTTTGGGGTTGTAAGATTTTTTAAAGAAGTCTCTTATGTTCACCTATGCTGCAACTACTTGATCAAAAATAGAGGAAAAATAGTAATACGTGACCCTGGACCACAAAACCAGTGTCAATTTTTTGAAATTGAGATTTATACATCATCTGAAAGCTGAATAAATAAGCTTTTCATTGATGTAAAGGTTTGTTAGGATAGGACAATATTTGGCTGAGATACAACTATTTGAATATCTGGAATCTGAGGGTGCAAAAAATCAAAATACTGAGAAAATCGCCTTTAAAGTTGTCCTTAGCAATGCATATTACTAATCAAAAATTAAGTTTGAATATATTTACGATAGGAAATTTACTAAATATCTTCATGGAACATGATCTTTACTTAACATCCTAATGATTTTTGGCATAAAAGAAAAATCTATTCTTTTGACCCATACAATGTATTTTTGGCTATTGCTACAAATATACCAGTGCAACTTAAGATTGGTTTTGTGCTCAAGGGTCACATATTATAAAATAGTTATAAAATGCAAAATAACGGTTTTCTGTTTTAATATATTTTAAAATGCCATTTATTCCTGTGATGGCAAAGCTGAATTTTCAGCAGCCATTACTTCAGTCTTCAATGCCACATGGTCCTTCAGACATCATTTTAATACACTGATTTATTTTTGTGGATTTTTTTGTAACATTACAAAATGTTACAATCTTTACTGTCACTTTTGATCAACTTAATGCATCTTTGCTAAATAAAAGTATTAATTTCTTTCTCTAAAAAAAATCTTACTGACCTCAATTTTTGAGATACGTGTATTTAAGTTTACCTGCTCCAATGCCCACAAATGTACGAGCCAAAAGCATGTGAATTTTGTTGTATGAGGGAGGTAGGTAGACATAGGTGTAGTAAATGTTAGCCGAGACATTGATGAATATAGAGCAGACTAGAGGCTCTCGCCGAGGCCTGTGATTGGACCACAATCCAAAGAGGGGTGAGGCCACCATCTGACCCAAACTATATGCAGCAACCACCCATCCCAAGAAACTGGCATCTGCACTTTCATCAATCTAAAAAAAGACAAATAGAGCATGATTGATGGACTTAAAAGACAGTCACAGACTAACAGGGCTTGAAAAAGGACTGTGCAACTGTGAAAAAATATTTAGGCATTCTGATTCAAGTGACCCGATCAGAATAAATCAACAGATATTTACGTTTCGCACTACAGTTGGCTACTTTTCATGCCTTTAATCAACAGAGCAAGCGTGAAAAAACTTGTACTCAGCTCAACAGAGGACTATACAGTGCGTGCATAATTATTATGCAACTGCAAGTTGATATTCTGGTCATATTTTTTTCCCCAAGCACATTTTACCAATTCCAAACCACATCAATCTTAATAACTACTATTCATTTTGTCTTTAACAATTTATAAATTATATATAATTGTCTATGAAGGATGGAAGTGAAAAACGCCTTATATTCAGGTGTGCATAATTATTACGCAGGTTTTCTTTTACAGATCAAATTGAAAAGAATTTTAACTCAGACTGAAAAGTCAAAAATTATTAAATGGCCATGAGAAGGATGCAATACTAGAAATTGCAAAGTTAAGGCGTGACCATTGGAGAGCAAAATGCCCATTGGGTCAGCAGGGTCAGACAAAACTGCTGAAGAAGAAGAAGACACACATTAACTGCAAAAGAATTAAGGTGAAGAATTAGGTGTGAAACCATCAGGAACCCTTTAGTCTCCTCATGGCCATTTAATGATTTTTGACTTTTCAGTCTGAGTTAAATCTCTTTTTTTGGCTCATTTTTAGAGCCTGATCGATATGGGTTTTTTGGGGGCTCATGCCGATACCGATATTAGGGAGTAAAAAAATATATCGGTCGATATTCTTTATGTGTAGGCTATATTATAGTACAGTATAGTCAAAAGTTTTATTTGCAATGATAACTTAAATGTGGTGATCAAACACTTATAATGATGTGACAAACATAGGCCTATGTAATGAAGGCAGGGTATTAAACAATTTAACAATAAACTTTATTATTCAAAATCAGTCTGACATCAGTGCACTTAACAGTCAACTTAACTTCACTTATTATAAAAAACTTAAATAACACAAATAGAACAAAATATATAACTTGAATTAAGAAATTAAACAAGGTAACTGTGTAAGGCAAGCAAGCTACTGCCAAACCCACAGGGGCAGGTTTATGCAGGAAGCACAGCTTTTCCAAATGTAAACATCTAAAATGAATAAATAATAATAATTAATAATATTTTTTTCACAAACTCTGTGTTGTGTATTTTCTCGTAATCAAATGAACATGCAGAACATTCGTATTTAAATCGTCTTTTTGCAGTTTAATATTCACAGTCTATATGCACTGACCTGTTTTTTAGACAAATTCCATGAAATTCGCGTTATACAGTAAATTCCGTTTTTATGACTGGATTCCGTTTCTAAGTCATGCTTAACTTAGGGTACCATACTTTGCACAGAATTGATAGAATTGCGATACTAATAAACGTTCACTTCACTCAAATCTCAAATGCACAGAATACAATTTGTTCCTGTAAATCAAACAGGTAGAACATACTTCTAGAAACACAAGGTCATGGGTTTGATTCCCAAGGAACGCATCAACTAATAAAATGTATCGCCTGAGTACAATGTAATATAGAGTGTGTAAATGTAAATACACTTACATTCTTCAGATATGGCCATATGGAGGTGATGACAATCGTAAAACCTAAGAAAAAACATTGCAATTACTAATACATATTACACGCATTTACTTTGTACTATACAAACAATGCAACTACCATTAATTTATCTACTACTAACTATAATATAATTGTAAATTGCAACAGCTGGTACAGACAGATTCCTTCTTGCTACACCTTTACTATTTTTTACGAGGTTCAAAGGCATACAATGTTGAATTGAACTGCACAGTGTACAATTAGTAGCCTGTCCTGACACTGGACAAACATCTTGCAGGTTACAGCAGGTTTTCAGCTCTAAAATGAATGGATACATTTACGTTCATTGAACCGGACAGCACTGTAGGGCTGCACAATTAATCGAGTTTCTAATCGTGATTACAATTACGGATGTCACAAATACTTACAAAGACTTACATTATTCTGCATGCTTAAGATGTGTGTGTTTCTTTCTACAGGTTTATCTTAAGGGTTTTCCCCATTGTTTTCATTTTCGTTTTACATTATAACACCATGCTTTTTTTAATTTAAAGTAATAACCAAACCACTTGTAATTAATAATCACAATTACAATTTCAAGGGAATAATCGACAGTTATGATTTTTGTCATATTAATTTGTAACACTATCGCAACATTTAATTTTTTTTAAACTATGAGTGTGTGCGCGCGCGCGTTTTTGTGACAAATGAGGACATAAATTTGTATAATGAGGGTATAATAATAAAAAAATAAAATAACTTTTTTTTTGACTAATAGGGTAGAGTGGTATACTAAACTTATTGCAGTATTCCACTGTATTGCATAGATGGGTATAAGTTAAGGGCAGGACTTACGGGGACGGGGGCCCCTGGGCTTGAGGTTATGTTTGGGCCCCATACCTATACTACAAATGCCCTCAACTAGAACATTATTAAGGAGTAACACAAAAATGTAAATATGCTTTCAGGTTCATATACTGTAACAAAAATGTAAATATGCTTTCAGGTTCATATACTGTATACAGTTAATAGGCAACATGTCTAGCCTAGTCAAAGTTTAGATGTAATATTAAATAGTCACTATAATACAATAAACAGGATGTGATCTCTCAGTTGAAAGATCAAAACCCTGAAATAACACTGAGCAGAAAAAAACAAAGAGATGTATTTTTATGAAAGTGTATTGTCATATCTGTGTCTTTTTATGTCAGATTCTTAAATGTAATAAATTCAATCTGAATAAAAAAACATTTTGGCTATTAACAATCAAATGAAATCACTATAAACAAAATCCATAGATGGATTTTGCATAAGTTATGTTAAGTTTAAATACAACATTTTAATGT